ATAACAAATAAAAACATTTAGTTACCATCTAAACTTTCTTTTCCAAGCATGGTGCTGGCAGCTCACACCTATAAACCTAGCTGCTCAGGAGGCTGAGATCTGAGGATCCAACATTCAGAGCCAACGAAGGGAGGAAGGTTGCTAACACTCTTCTCTCCAATTAACTACTAAAAAGCCAGAAGTGGAGCTGTGGCTCAAGTGGTAGAGAGGTATCCTTAAGCATACAAACTCAGTATTAGCACCCAGACCCTGAGTTCAAGGACTGGCACCAAAAAATAAAAAGAATTCTTTTCCTTCAAATGTAAAATAGTTGGCTACCTCTACTTATTCTCATTGTATTTACTTTCAGATCTTGGAATTTAGTTTCTACCCAAGTGAGGAGGAGAAGGAAGAGGAGGGAGGAGGAAAGAAGAAGAAAGGACAATCTCCAGAGGATGTGTGTATGTCATAAAGCATCACAAAGCAGATCTCTTGACTGCTGAGCCCTGGGAGATAGTTATCACTTCACTTCATTCCTTAATAAAATTGGCTATGATTTCTTTTTTAAGCACACATTCCTCTTAGACTTGGAACACTGCTCTGCTTGGATTATGCTTCTCTTTCTGTGATCATTTGGCCTTTCCCTTCTTCAGGGACTCTAGTTCCTCCCAGGACTCATGTCTCAGGCTCATGCTTACTTCATTTACTTTTTCCAAGTAAATCAGATGAATGAGACCCACATTTTCTTTGACTACCCACAGTTCCTGCTTTGGCTTCAGACTCTTGTCTTTGAACATTGTTAATCTCAAAGTCCCCCGAATTGTCCAACCTCACCAGAGTAAAAAAGAAATACACTTACCTCTACTGCTCTCTAGATGGAAGAGGGTGTGATGTGACCAAGAAAGGAAACTGGGTTTGAAGAGCAGGCACAACTCTTTCTGGTCTGGGCTGGATGAGCTACTTAATAACTAACTTTAAGTCAGCTGGAAAGATTCTTGAAGAACTCAATGGGAAATGCAGAACACATTTGTATGTGTGTGTCTGTAGGTATACATCATGTCTGTAAGCATGTGTTTATGTGTATGTGTTATGTATGAGTGTGTGCATGCATGTATGCATGCATGTTGTTCCAACAGTTGCATACTTGGTACCCAGAGCCAGCGGATTATCAGTGAGAGGCATTATCATCATTATCATTCACATTAGAAAGTTCTAGCACATATCATCAAAGTCAAAAGGAAGTGGCAATGTGAGAGGCACACTTGACTCTTTCTTTCCTCTCATCTCTCACAGGAACACATCCGGTAGATTTTTTTTCCTCAATATTTCCCAAATCTCATCACTCTTCAATTTCTTTAGCCAACATCCCTAACCCAGGCTGTCATCCCCTTTCCTCCAAGAATCTTTACCCAACCTGGACATCCTGTTCTAGTAATCTGTGCTGGAAGGAGCATGCCATTCTGAAGGAGAATTCTCTGTCGTTGTCATCTTTAAAATACACCAGAGACTGAAATGTAGGTGGGTTTTATAACCATTATTCACAAAGTGAGTGAAGCAGAAATACTTTTGATAATAGAATATTTTGATGTTCAGTGGGCTCATGAGACAGTATCTGTGCAACTGACCTCTGTGGGATCTCAGCACATGATGACCATAACTACATATGTCTCACCACAGTACCATCATCACCAGACTGCGCCTGCCCCTCAGCATAGCCGATGTGCAAGGCCGGTGTACATCGCTTACATCCCAGGCTTCATTCTTATCCTCCCTTGTGTGTGGGAGGGCCCACACATGACCCCTTAGGGGTCAGGGAAGCAGATGAGCTGTAAATGGATTTCTGGAAGCTCCTGGGAGATTCTTAGCTTTCCCAATATATAGATTTGTGGTTGTTTTCCTTCCCCTCTTCCTTCTGCTAAAACCAGAATTAGGAAGTATGGAACTGGACAGGGGGCTTTATGAGTCTGAGGAGAAGACCTAGAGAATCTCCAAGTCCTGGCCTTGGGCTTATGTGATTAAACTCTGGGGAGAAAAAAGAATCAAACATCAATATGTAGGGCCCACCGGGGCAAGCAATCCCTCCGGTCTTGAGAGAGCTGGGAAGGACAACTAATATGTCTGTCCTTAGGATCACTCTCATTCCTGCCAGGATGACCATTATCAAAAACAAAGTAAAACAAACCAAGCCCAAACAACAAGAAAATCACAAATGCTGGCAAGGATGAGGGGGAAAAAAACTCATAAACTACCATATGATCCAGCTATGCCACTCTTGGGTGTATATCTGAAGTCAAGTAAGTCAGCATATGAAAGAAATACCTGAACCTCCATAGTTAGTAACAGCGCCAATCACAATAGCTGAAATTTAGGATCAGTGTGGGTGCCCATCAACTTGAATAATGGATAAAAAAGTGGTATATCTACACAATCAAGTATTATTCAGCCAAAAAAGAATAACAAAATCCTGTCATTTCCAAGAATATGGATGGAGCTGTTAAGAAAAATGTCTTCGCTCACGTGCAGGAACTAAAGCTGACTGGGAAGGAAGAGGGAGTCAGTGAGAGACTGGGGGGGAGAGGGATGGGGGTGAGCATGAACACAGCTAATGCATGTGTGGAAACGGCACAAAGGAATCCATTAATTTGTCCACCTAATGTGTGTTATCAATAATATTCATAAAGAATGACTCTCCTCAAAACTGGGCATCATAGATGTCCTACCCATGTTAAGTAGTAGCAAATTAACAGTACATGCTGTCCTGAGCTACAGGTTAACACACCAATGATTAATGCCCTGTTCCAAGTCTGCTATGATTTGCCTTGGCCCCAGGCTCAAAGCTGGAAAGAGAGAAAAGGCTGCTGGGCACATTTTCTTTCCACATCCATATCTTGAACTTCATTCATGCCTCCACCTGCCTCTCAGAGGCTGCCCTGCTGGCCAGCACTTAACAAATACTATAATCAGGGAAAAGCTCACCAGACTTGGTCACCTCTACCTCTACTCTGAGAATGGAAAACACACAGGGGTTAATCTGGCATCATCTTCCTTAAATATTTAAAAAGCAATTACTTAAGTGCTAAAAATGTATTTACTTAAATATTTAAAAAGTAAAGGAGGGAGGGAAAATAAGAAGGAAGAAAGGAGGGATGAAAGAAGGGAGAGATGGAAGGATGAAAGTGAGGAGAAAGGAAAAGCAAGAGAGGAAAGGGAGAAGGTAAAGAAGAGAGGAAGGAAGGGAGGTTGGAAAGGAGAGGGGAATGGAAGAAGGGACCAAGGGAAAGAGGAGAGAAGGAGAAAGAAAGGAAGGAAGGAAGGGAAGAGAGGAAAAGGGAAGGGAAGGAGGAAAGGAAGGAGGAGGGAAGAAAGGAAGGAAGTTTATTAGGAACAAAGTGGGAAGTTTGTTTATATGTGATAAAGAAATGCCATGCCCTAGGTCCTCTGCATAGAAACAAAGAGACACTGGCTGGGTAGGTAGGGGGGAGGCTGGGAAGGAATGTGAAGGGTAAACAAAGGAGGAGGCTGCAATGCTTGATAAGAAATGTACGCATTATCCTGCCCATGTAATTGTAACCCCTCTGTACAGTACGTTCACAAAAAAATTAAATTAATAAAAAAGAAACAAAGAGACACTTCCAAGTATTAACACATCAGTTCGTTTTAGACAAAGTCACAGGGAGGCAAAATAGAACAATCAAATGTGAAGTTACTTTTCGATAGTTTTGATATAATAATAGCCTTCTCCAAGCATTAGTGATCTTTTAAAGTAATATTTCAACTGACTTTTGTGGTACAACTAATTATGTTAAATATTCTGAAAGAAATACTTCAAGAGATTGTTCCTTACCTCTCTCTCTCCCTTCCTCCCTGTTTTCCTTCCTTCCTTCCTCTGTCTTTTCCTCCCTCCCTCCCTTTCTTCTTTCCTTCCTTCCATTCAAAATATGGTCTTTCCTATTTGTGAAGTCAATATTTTCCCATTCTGGGTTTCCTGATGTTGAGGTACACCAATGATACAAACCTTAGCACTTAATTTCATTTACATTTCTTATTCTCTCTATATCTTTTTTTTCCACTGTGACAATCACATTGAAAATCTGATTTCCATGGCTTTATTCAGTTCTACTGAAAGAAGTCACGGTACTACTTTTTGTAGTACTGTGGTACTGAGGGACTAGCTCAGGGACTTCTTGATTTGCTAGGCAAGCTCTCTTTAAGCTAAATCTCAACTCCACAAGTACAAGCTTTATACAAAGGGTTGTTGGATTTTCTCATATCCTTCATCCACTATTGAGTTATTTTAACCTTTAATTTATGTACAGAATTTTGTGGTCTCTTGCTTTCCTATGCATATATGTATGTATGTATGTATGTATATATATATATATATATATATATATATATATATATTCCTGATATTTTTGAAAGTTCTTGGAGAAATGTTTACCAAAATATATCAAACATTACTAGCTGTAACTTAAAGAAAAGGGTTCCCTGATCAGAAAAATTTGAGAAGAGCTGGAAGTACAATGGCACTTTCTGCAACCTTTCAGGCTACTGTCAATTTTCAAGAGGAGATCATAGTACAAAGCATTCAGTAAATTTCACTGGACCATCCACTTCGCCTGGCCGAGCCACAGGACTAAATTAGGGCAGAACAAACTTTGGGAAAGGCATATGTGGAAATCACATATTAAGATTTACAAGTATTTTCAGCATAAGAAACCAATTAAACCACTGTGATAGGTTAAACATCATAACTACAGAGTGTCAAAGCTATTTGGGGAATACTAATTCAGTTAATTAACATTTTATACTCATTATACTTACTAGCATTTATACAAGACTTTGACTAGGGTAGGCCCACATTATTGGTATTCTGCCTGAAGTAGAACATAGGGTGACTTCGTGGCTGAATTCCATCCCTGCCCCATCCAGTGTTAAATGTGATGCAATGATACCTTGTGCCTGCTCTCTTTGCAATTCAACCCATGAGGTCATGTGTAGCACTTGTATGGGGCACTTACCAATGACGTATTCCACTCTGAAGTGATCTCTCCTAGGGTTGTATGGACGATTGAAGTCAATCTGGACGTAGAAGGACTGTCCTCTGCGGACAATCAAATTGTTGTTGTCATACTGGTCTGTGTGATGGTCAATCTTGTTGCTGTCCCATCTCTCTTTGAACAGGTGAACACTTGTGACATGAAGGTATTCTGGACATGGAGAAAACAATGGAAGGAAATTGTTAGGTGGCTTTCAGTTTAAACACAGACTTAAAAATAAAACCAAGCCAGGCACTGGTGGCTTACGCCTGTAATCCTAGCTACTCAGGAGGCTGAGATCTGAGTATTGAGGTTCAAAGCCAGCCTGGGCAGGAAAGTCCATGAGACTCTTATCTCCAATAAACCACTCAAAAACCAGAAGTGGCAGTGTGGCTCAAGTGATAGAGCACTCACCTTGAGCTGAAGAGCGCAAGGACAGCACCCAAGCCCCACAACCGACCAAAAAAAATAAAAATAAAACCAAGCCAGGTTATTTTTCTGAAGAAGGAAGAGAGCAATAAAAGTCTGTATGGAGACAGCGGAGACAGCAGATCTGATAGTCTCGTAATGTTCTTGCTTAGGGAGAGAGTTTTACTTTTTATGTAAGCTTTTTCCACTCCTGATCTCATTTCAGATCACAGGACACTCACTTTGGGGGAGATGGCTGGCTGGCTTATAGATCTAGACACAGGGAAGGGAGGGAGGGCCAGAGTTCAAGGCATCAGCTTCTCCGCCACATGCTGGGTTTTGCTATGCTAGGCTCTCCCCACCATGCCTAAACTTCTCTATATGAGGCAGCACTTCAATTCCCCCATCTCTCCAAAGGGTGGAATCAAATCGGAGAAAGCCTCAAAGGGATATTCTGAGGACAAAATTGGCCATTAATCCAAAATTCTCCTGTCACCTCAGGAAGGGTCAAATGTCCCCTCCTGTAGTTCTAAAAGTAGATCTGGGTCCTCAAAGGCAGGGGAGGGAGGGAACAGGTCTGCAGAAAGGAAGTTAGCACTTTGCTGAGATAAGTATGATGGCTTCCAGCTACAGACAGAAGCTAGCCTTGCAGCTCCTTAGCCTCGAAGTGACACACCTAGACATCAAACCCTGATCTTTTTGATGCCGAAATTGCAGAGTTTTCTTTTGGAATGAGGTGTATATGTGTCAATTGGTGTTTACTAATCATATGACTCATATGACCTCATTTTACAATGAAGACACCGATTTGTATTGTCAAGACGATGTACAGAGGGGTTACAGCTACGTAAGTAAGGTAGTGAGTACATTTCTTGTCAAACATTGTTACCCCTCCCTCATTTTTTTCCCACGTTCACTGACTTTTACAGACTATCCTGTGATGCTTCAACATCTAAAGGAGGTGATGTATGTGGATGTGATTTGAGATGACATGCACGAAAGCAAGAGCAGAGCCTGATCCAGAATAGCCCTGCACAAAGGAAAACTTCCCTCTGCCACTTTCCTATTCCCCTCTGTGAATGACCACTTCTGGGAAGGCAGTGTCAACTACAGTTTGCCCTGTGGTTTAGGAATTCAAGCCCAGAATCTGATCCCCGGGTACATCTGGAGTTCTCCAGGGGTCTGGGGATGAGAAGATTGGGAAGGGTGCTCTGTCCCCTGCCCCCCAAGTCCCTACCCCCTCTCCCAGGCCTGACTAGTTTTCCCTAATGGCTGCAAACTAAAAACATACTGCTCAGCTTATGCCCATTCAGAGGCATGGTGCTGAAATACTCCAAAGACATCTTCACTTTTACACAGGAATCCTATGCAGGACTCTGGGTTCCTTGGAGCCCCATTTTTTTTCTTCATAAATGAAACCAAGTAGTTGGGCTCTTTAAGATATACTTTAGGGCTGGGAAGGTGGCTCAGTGGTAGAGCGCTTGCCTTGCATGCTCGAGGCCCTGGGTTCGATTCCTCAGCACCACATAAGCAAAAAGAAAAAAGCCGGAAGTGGCAATGTGGCTCAAGTGGTAGAGCGCTAGCCTTGAGCTGAAGAGCTGAGGGACAGCGCCCAGGCCCAGAGTTCAGGCCCCATGACCGGACCCAAAAAAAAAAAAAAAGATATACTTTAGCACTGAAGTCCAGGAGTGCTGAAACCCTCATTATGATTATTTTTCTTTGAGTAGTTGTACAAGGGGGTTTCAGCTCAACATGTCACTTTAAAATGAGCACAATGTATCTTTTTTTGGGGGGATCCCGGTCGTGGGGCTGAGATATGATACAAGGTGTTTGCTATAACACCTGGGGTGAGATTTCAGGTGTACTGTGGCTCACAGAGCAGGAACTCTGACAAGCACTCCACATGGCTTGGTATTCCATGGGTTACTCCGGCTGCAGCATTTCAGTAGAGCACAAGATGCAGTTTTATTTTTACCTTATCTCACAGCTCAGTCATAGTACATGAGCCCCTGAAGAGTACTTTCTTTCCATTATGCTGTGAGCTGAATATGTTTAATTTTCTAGGCCTCTCTCTTTTCCAAGGCACCTTTCTCCTGAGTTCTCTGGCTTTTATTAAGATCATATTCTCCAGTGCTAAACCAGCCTATGAAAGAGTGGGGGAGATCCCAAAGTATCTGGGGTTGAAAATAACTTTAGTGACCAACTCCTTTGCTCCTCTTTTTTTGTACAGTGCTTTTAAATAACTTTAAAAAATAACTAAAAGTCTAAATCCTCAGGAATGGGTTGAATGTGTTCACCATTCATCAGTATCAAAGAAAGGAACATGCTAAGATACAGCTCAAAGGATCTCAAGGGAAAGGCACTCCCAGGCCATCTGGTAGACCTACCATGTGGCTACTCCAGGAACATCTCCTGGAAAGCCTTAAGACTTGGGTTTCTGGCCTCTGATTGAACAGGGAACTCACTACCTGATATTCACTAACCCTCTTGTGATGAACTGACATCTGCTTCTCTGTAATTTTCTATCCATGGATCCGTTTGTATAAATGTAGAGCAAATTCTCCAGTCATCTCCTTTGGCATCCTCTAGGTATTTAAAGGGTTCTTAGGCATCCCATCCTCAGTGTGAAACTGTCTCCATTCCTTCAATGATTCTTTAAGATGCTTTCCCATAATTCTGTTTTGGAATATATTTCACTTTGTACATTTTTTTTTTTTGCCAGTCATGGACCTGAACTCTGGGCCTAGGCACTGTCTCTCAGTTCTTCAGCTCAAGGCAAGCACTCTACCACTTGAGCCACAGCACCACTTCTGGCTTTTTCTGACTATGTGGTGCTGAGGAATCGAACCCAGGGCCTCATGCATGCAAGGCAAGCACTCTACCACTGAGCCACCTTCCCAGCCCTCACTTCGCACATTTCTTTTTTGAACTTTTTCCCTAGAAGAAAGTATCTACTGTGGTCATGTTTTTTTCTCCAATAAAATACGAGACAATTACATCTTTGAAAACAAATAGTACAAATCTATTATTTTAATTCAAGATATAACTAGTGTCTCGGGCACTCTTTTCTTACTTTGGATCTACATTAAGTTCATTCTAATGCCATTTGCCCCTTAATGGGCTATAATTCCATTTAGATTCCTACAAGTTACTCACTTGAGTTTCTCTTTGGTCATATGTATTTATTAAATTTTTTTTGTTTTTCAGTTCATTTTAAGGCCTGTTTATTTCTCACATAGCTGGGATGACAGGGACACACTACCACCCCACTATTGGCTGAGGTAGGAGGTCTCACTTTTACCTAGGCTGGGCTTAAACTGTAATCCTCCAGATCTCTACCTCCCAAGTAACTGGAATTATAGGCAGGAGTTGTTGTACCTGTATTCAATACATTTAATATATTCTCTCCAGCTTTCTGACCTTCAGGATTTCTAAAGTTTGCTATGTATGTGTCTATCTGATGCATGGACATGAATATTGATCAAACAATTGCCTAATATTAAATTGCAAATAAAGTAGACATAGTGGTAGATACTGAAAAGTGAACAATGGCCACTAAATTAAACACATGTATACACATACACACACACACACACACACACACACACACACACACACCAACAGTAGTAAAAAGACAAGTAATTGAGAAGAGAATGGGCATACTGTTTTTGCAGTGGGAGCAGAATAGGAGAGGATTGAGTCAAGGGTTTTGGGAGGAAGTGGGGAAATAATGACTAAAAAAATGTTTGGGTTGTTGGAAGTAGGAGGCGGAGCCACAATGAAAAAGCAGACAAAAGCAAATTTATAGGTTGTGTTAGAGAGCTTGGACTTGGCATTGGAGGTACAGTAAAGAATCTACACCCACAACCTTTCATGATTTGATTGAAAGATATAAGTTCACACTGCTTCTGGGGGCAGAGTGGAAGAGGAGTTGGATAGTATCAATGCTGGGGGCTGGAAGTTCAGTTAGGAGGTTGTTGCCCTGCTCTGGGTGAGAGATGGTGGTCAGCTCATCTACCTGAAGGGAATTGATGTTCAGATCTTAGAATCATCCCAGGTTTTGATGCCTTGGCTCCGACCCTCCTCCACTGTGACTGCCTGCTCTGAACATGAATATATTAGCTCTATGTCTTGGCTTCCCAAGCAGCTCTCTCTTCAGGAAAAAACAAAGCTGAAGAGGAATTTTCAAAGATTTCTTTGGTATCTAGTTGCATCCAGTGAGTCTGGTGAAGTCAGTCTGTCCTTGAACAGGGCAGCATCGGCTCTGTTTGGGCAGGTCCTTGAGGACAGCTCTGTGGTTAGGTCTGTTGGGGAAACACTGGCCTAAGCAGAGGTGATCAGATTTCTCTGCTGTAGAGCTGACAGGGGGCTGCAATGCATGGCTGAGCACTGCAGTGATCCTAGAGATTCAATAGTTTCCACATCTTTTTGCCTATGAAAAAAATTGCTTTCTTTGGCGATTGCTACATTTTGCAGATATGGTTTGGGAGATGCTCTGTACTTACTAATTGTTCAACCTCGGGGAAGTTATTTAATCTCTCTAAGTTACTGTTGCCTTGCCTTTAATATGGGCATGAGACACCACATACAGGACCTACTTCTGAGTATATTCTCAATAAATATTGAATGTGGTTGTTGATATCAAGGTTAGACTAACTCAGAGTAAGACTTGGCGTCAGACTGCCTGGACTCAAATCCTAACTCTGCTGTGTGTCCTCCTTATGACTTTGCACAAGTTGCATAAACTTCCTGAACCTCAGTTT